CCAAATTCAGACCCCTCCACTGACACCCCTCATGTCAGGACCCCCAAAACCACACCCTGGAGATCGTGACCAGGGTACCCCAAACTCCCCTGCACTCCCTGGGCAGGAATCCCAAATAAAACCCAAATTCAGACCCCTCCACTGACACCCCTCGTGTCAGGACCCCCACACCCACCCCTCAGAGAATTTAACCGGCTCCCCCAATTCAGCCGCCCCCACACACCTCATCAGCCCCCCGGGACCCCCGTTCAGCCCCCCGGGACCCCCGTTCAGCCCCCCGGGACCCTCCCGTCCCCGCAGCTCCGGGGCTGGCCCCGGCCTTGCCCCGCTCCCCGCGGCCCCGGAGCCCCCCGGCCCCGCCGTACCGGGGAGGCCGCGCGGGGCGGAGCGAGAGCGGGGCGGGGCTGAGCGGAGCTGAGGGGAGCGGGGCCGGGATGAGGCGGAGCTGAGGGGAGCGGGGCCGGGCTGAGGGGAGCGGGGCCGGGCTGAGGCGGAGCTGAGGGGAGCGGGGCCGGGCTGAGGGGAGCGGGGCCGGGCTGAGGCGGAGCTGAGGGGAGCGGGGCCGGGCTGAGAGGAGCGGGGCCGGGCTGAAGGGAGCGGGGCCGGGCTGAAGGGAGCGGGGCGGGGCTGAGCGGAGCTGAGGGGGAACGGGGCCGGGCTGAGGCGGAGCTGAGGGGAGCGGGGCCGGAGCTGAGGGGAGCGGGGCCGGGATGAGGCGGAGCTGAGGGGAGCGGGGCCGGACTGAGGGGAGCGGGGCCGGAGCTGAGGGGAACGGGGCCGGGCTGAGGCGGAGCTGAGAGGGAGCGGGGCCGGAGCTGAGGCGGAGCTGAGAGGGAACGGGGCCGGGATGAGGCGGAGCTGAGGGGAGCGGGGCCGGGCTGAGGCGGAGCTGAGGGGGAGCGGGGCCGGAGCTGAGAGGAACGGGGCCGGAGCTGAGGCGGAGCTGAGGGGGAACGGGGCCCGGGCTGAGGCGGAGCTGAGGGGGAGCGGGTCCGGGCTGAGGGGAGCGGGGCCGGGCTGAGGCGGGGCTGAGGAGGAGCTGAGGGGAACGGGGTCGGAGCTGAGGCGGAGCTGAGAGGAACGGGGCCGGAGCTGAGGCGGAGCGGGGCCGGAGCTCCAGGACTGCACCCCCAGGGCTTTGCATCTGAATCCCCCAGGATATGGGACTGTGCCCCCACAGACATGGGGCTGAACGCCCCAAGAGCTCCAGGACTGCACCCCCAGAGCTCTGGGTCGGAATCCTCCAGGACATGGGGCTAAACCCCCCGACAGACATGGGGCTGAGCCCCCCAAGGGCTCCAAGACTGCTCTCCCAGAGCTCTGGATCTGAATCCTCGAGGATATGGGACTGTGCTCCACCAGGATATGGGACTGTGCTCCACCAGGACATGCGGCTGAACCACCCAAGAGCTCCAGAACT